TTTTCTCCTAAACATACTATAATAAAATATTTACAGTACAAATTAACAAAAAGATAACACTAAAAATTGATTAGTGAAACGATATAATTAAAAGATATGTCTATAGACTAGAAGCCTTAAAACAAAAACATATGTAAGGATTTAGTATACGAAAAGCCTCTTGTTTCAAATCAGTGTGAAAAGAATAGATTGTTAAATAAAAAGATCTAGAATGAACTAGTTAACCACTCTAATTTTTAAAAGTTAAAAAAAACTGGTGAGCATTGATCTAATTTAAGCATAGAGGCACTCTTTCTCAGTATAAAAGCAAAGAAAAAACTATACATGAAAAGACCCAGGTGTGACTACTTAAGAATGCCAAAAGTAGCATAAAAAGTAAAAGACAAACATGGAAGTTTGTTAATAATTCTTATGAATCAAAGTGGAAGGGAAAAACCTTAAAATCCTAAAAGAAAAATGGGTAGGGGCCAGCCCCATGGCTGAATGGTTAAGTTTGTGTGCTCCACTTCGGTGGCCCAGGGTTTCACTGGTTCAGATCCTGGGCGCGGACATGGCAGCGCTCATAAGGCCATGCTGAGGCAGCATCCCACATGCCACAACTAGAATGACCCATGGCTAAAAAATATGCAACTATGTACCCAGGGACTTTGGGGAGGGAAAAAAGCAAACAAAAAAAAACAAAAGAAAAATGGGTAAAGGTCATTAAAAAGAAATTACTAAAAATAAAAACACACTATAAACATAAAAAAGTTCAACCTCATTATTAATAAAAGAAATGCAATTTAAAGCAATGAAATAGCATTTTTCATCAACAAATTGGCCAAAATTCTAAAAAGAAGAGTACCTACTAGTATTGGCCTGAACAAAGGGAAATGGTAAAGTAGGTAGAGATGTAAACTGGCAATAAGCATCAAAAGTTTTAAAAAATGTGCATAGCCCTTGAGCCAGTGCATCTCCTTCTAGGAATTTTATTTTAAAGAAATCAGTCAACATGTCTACTAAGATTTATATACAATCACATGTCACTTAACAGCAAGGACACAGTCTGAGAAATCCATTGTTAGGCGATTTTGATATTGTGTGAACATCATAAGAGTGTACTTACACAAAGCTAGATGGTACAGCCTACTGCACACCCAGGCTACATGGTACTAATCTTAAGGGACCACCATTGTATATGCAGTCCATCACTGACTGAAACATCATTACGTGGCACTTGACTGTAAAAAGATATTCATCACAGAACTGCTACAGCTAAAAGATCTGGTAATATCCTACATATTAAATAGGGGATTGGGTAAATTATTAACGACACAAAACTTTACTCCCCTAAAATGCACCCCATGTTTGATGGGGGGAAGAGAAGAAAATAAAAATTATGATAGCATGAGCAGTGACCAAAGTGTGAAAGAGTATTCAACAGGCTTTTAACCTTGACTATCTCAGGAGGGTGGGATTTGATAGGTGTGGAAGGGACATTAACTTTTTCTATATACATCTTTGTATTGTTCTAAATATTAAGCACAGAATAACTAATTTGTAATTTTTCTTCACAATTACAAAGAAATTAGTACAAAAAGTTGTAACACAGGAAATTTTAAATGACAGAGAAGTACAACTTTAAAAAAAAAACAGTTCTGAGAATTAAAAAAAAAAACACACCAAATAACATGATCTGAAGGTCCTCAGTAAGAATATAAAATAAGGAATCATTAAGGAATAATTTTCCATGCCACCATTATTGACACTGTTAAGCTTCAACTTAAATATAATACCTAGGTTCAAAAAAACGCTTAAGACTTTGAAAACAGATATACCGGTAAAAGTTACAATAGCTGAAAAGAACTAATTGGGCAGAGAAAACAACTAGGATGTTCAAGAACGTAAAGTATTATTTAATACAGAAGGGACTTTCCAAAGGATTTTTATGTTATCTTATTATGTGCCAGGCACTCTTCTACATTTTATTAACTAGCGTAATCCTCACAACCACCGTATGAAGAGGGTACTACTATTATCCTTACTTGATAGACTAGGAAACCAAAGCAAATACAAAAGCAACACTATAGTGTTACCTCTTGAAATGTCTGCAGTCCTTGGATTTCATAAACTGGCTCCACCAATATAAAACTATATACTATTCTATGTTCATCTAATTCCAAGAATCAAAGACAAACCAAATGTTGAATAGGACAATATACTGAAATTAAATGTTCTTTCTGTATTTGTTTTGAGGTCTTAAATATCCTTTCAAAGAGCTTGTTTTTGCAGTTTAATAGAACACGAATCATACCTCAATTTGATGACAGATTTTAGCCTCCAGAGCAGCCATTTTTTCATTATCACCATTTTCGGCCATTGTGGCTATCTGTGAATTTTCCCAAATTGGCATAAAGAGGTTATTATTTTTTTTACATGAAGCTGAAGACTAGAAAAAGAATGTTTTAAAATTATCGCTATCCCATTATTTTCTTAAAAATCAAGAATTTCTAATTTATTCATTTCTCAAATTTCAACAAAAGAAAACTTAGGAGTAAGTGATAGAAAATTGACACACTATCGATAATCTACACCCCTTTCAGTAAATCAGTGTTCCATCTTCTATAACAGAGCGAGTGGTTATCTTTATTCAGCTGGCCAAGAAAGCTTTGGGGAAAAAAATTCCATTCAACCACTTAACAACCATTTCCAGCTTTAAGCAGATCACCATCTGTCAGTATATTATGGACCTCAGTTCTAATTGTTTTGTGTGGGTCTCATTTCTTTTAAAATTAGTCACAGCTGACTTATCAAAAACTTAGCAAAGATTAAGTAACATAACTTTAAGGCGAAAAAATTGAAATATTACAGTCAGATTAGGTATCCTATGTTAAGTAACATATGAAAATGATAATTTGAGAGCCTGAGGACACTGAAACAAAGTTAAACTGGGGGTATGGGTAGTAATTCACTAATACATTGGTCAACCTAACAGCCAGTTTCCTGTTTCACATCCCTGACATAAACACTGCAGAAAAAAATGAGACTGTGAGGCTGGTTTGCAGGCATCACAAACCAAGTCTTCTGACTTCAAATTACTTGCCTACAGTGCTCTATTAAACCACCTAGTCACCTCCATATTGTACAAAGTGTATTTCCAAGAACTCATCAAGCCTATCTGCCAAGAGCTGACTCTAGCGGTGAACTCTCATTGGTACGCTCCTCGGAGGCACCGCTTTATACACTGTAATTGCTGGATTACGATGACCTGGACACACACTGGAAGCTCTTCCAATAGGGATTTCTATGGTGCACCTCGCACTAAAAGTTAGCTCAATATTATGCATTGGTTTGTGGACCACGATCTACATAATTAAATTATTACCATGATTTAGGGCCCCTTATAAACCAAAGGGTGAGAAAAAGAACTATTTAGTCTCGACAAGACACTGGCCTATCCAATTTTGGAACTTCGTTTCATCAGATACTTTCCCAGAACGTACACCTAGAAGTGAAATATTACTTACACTTTCTCATTCCGCACAGAAGCCTTGATGTGAGTGAATGAGGACCCTAAAAACCCAAGAATGACGCGAGGGAACACCTGAGGCCCCAATTTTCCGGCCTCCAGTCTGCCCCGCATGATCCAAGGAACCCTCCAACGTTTAGCCAGTGGTAACCTCCCCCAGAAACTTACTGGGGTAGCCCGAAAAGTCCGCGATCGGAGGCACTGGAAAGCGGTGGAGGGAGGAAACCTTAAAGACACCGTGGGGACGCGGGCAGCCTACGTCCAGACCCCCGCCAAAGCCTGGTCCCAAAGCAACTACTGGCGCGCCTGGGCCCAGCCCCGGGCGGGGAACCCCCAGCTCCCGCGTTCTCGCAGAGGCCGGTCCGCGATTGCCACGGCCCGCGCCCCTCCGCTCCCTGCGCAGCGCGCCGCCTCGGGCTGCGGCCCACGCGGCGCTCGCCCCGACTGTGAGGAAGGCGTGGAGCCGACGTACCCAGCGCCAGGCAGCAAGGAAAGGGAACGCGCCGACGCGCACCACGCAAAGCAGACCCTTCTGTACCTTCGTCTCATTAGCCACCACGAGGCGCTCACCTTTAAGGTCCTGGTCCCGCAGAGCCGCGCCACAGGATCACTAACAGCGACGGCAATGTCCAGACTTCCCAGCGCCGCCGGCTTGCCTCACGCGCGCAAAGAAGATGGGGGCCCTCCCGGCAGCCCTTGCGGCACTAGTGGGCGGGGCTTCGAGCACGCAGAAGCCGGCGCCGCGCTACGAGCATGCGCGCCGGCCCCGGGCTCCCACGGCTCGCGGAGTCCCGCCCTCGCTCTGAGAAAATTGGGTGACAAAGTGCAGCAGGGTGTTAGACCGTGTTAGGGTAAATATTTATTTTTACGTAGTTTTGGACAGCATTGGTATCTCCAGCTCTTCCTTAGACTCTCCATTTAAATGAAGTGTTTGGCCTTTTATTGCAGATTATGCTTTTCAGAAAAAGTGTTTTAATTATCCATGTATATCTTTTTTTAACGGTAAATATTTAATGTCTACAAAATTTAACATATGTATTTTCGTAATTATTACATTGTTTTCATAAAAATTACATAATACTTGAAAGCAATTTGTTGTTTTGGGTTTTTCTTGTTTTAGGTATTTTAAGTGGTTATGAGGAAGAATTCTCAACTTTTTTTCACTTTTTTAAATTTTTCTTTATTGAGGTAACATTAGTTTGTAACATTATATAAATTTCAGGTGTACATCATATTTCGATTTCTGTGTAGATGACATCATGTTCAGCACCCAAAGACTAATTACAATCCATCAGCACACACATGTGCCTAATCACCCCTTTCAACCTCCTCCCTCCCCCTTGCATGCTAGTAACCACCAATCCAACCTCTGTCTCTCTGTATTCCTTTGTTGTTGTTCATTAATTTATTTTTTGAGGAAGATTAGCCCTGAGCTAACTGCTGCCAATCCTCTTCTTTTTGTTGAGGAAGACTGGCCCTGAGCCAACATCCGTGGCCATCTTCCTCTGCTTTATGTGTGGGACGCCTGCCACAGCATGACTTGGCAAGCCGTGAGAAGGTCCGCACCCGGGATTGAACTGGTGAACCCCAGGCCACTGAAGTGGAACGTGCAAATTTACCTGCTGCACCATCGGGCAGGTGCCTCTTTTATTGTTGTTTTTATCTTTTATTTATGAGTGAGATCATACGGTATTTGACTTTCTCCCTCTGACTTATTTCATTTAGCATAATACTCTCAAGGTCCATCCATGTTGTTGCAAGTGGCAAGATTTCGTGGTTTTTTATGACTGAGTAGTATTCCATTGTGTATATATACCACATCTTCTTTAACATTCGTCCCTTAATGGGCATGTCTGTTGCTTCCAAGTCTTCAGTATCGTGAATAATGCTGCCATGAACATAGGGGTGCATATATCTCTATGTTTTCATGTTCTTTGGCTAGATACCCAGCAGTGGAATAGCCAGATCCTATGGTAGTTCTTAATTTTTTTTTTCCAAGATTGGCACCTGAGCTAACATTTGTTGCCAGTCTTTTCTTCTCCTTCTCCCTCTCCCTTTGACTTTCACTCTCCTTCTTCTTCTTCTCTCCTCCTCCTCCCCAAAGCACCCCCAGTACCTAGCTGTGTATTCTAGTTGCAAGTCTCTCTAGTTGTGCCACGTGGGACGTCACCTCAGCATGGCTTGACGAGCAGTGCTTGGTCCATGCCCAGGATCCAAGCCAGCGAAACCCTGGGCTGCCAAAGCAGAGTGCACGAACTTAACCACTTGGCCACCGGCCTGGCCCCCCATATGGTGGTTCTATTCTTAACTTTTTGGGGAATCTCCGTACTGTTTTCCATAGTGGCTGAATCAGTTTGCACTCTGACCAGCAGTGGATGAGGGTGTCCTTTTCTCCACATCCTCTCCGTCACTTATTTCTTGTCTTGTTAATTATAGCCATTCTGACAGGTGTGAGGTGATATCTCATTGTAGTTTTGATTTGTATTTGCCTAATAATAGTGATGTTGAATGTCTTTTCATGTGCCTGTTGTCCATTTGTGTATCTTCTTTGAAAAAATGTCTGTTCAGATCTTTTGCCCTTTTTTCAATTGGGTTGTTGGTTTTTTTGTTGTTGAGATGTATGAGTTCCTTATGTATTTTGGATTTCTGGGCTCTCGATTCCGTTCCATGGATGTGTGTGTCTGTTTTTGTGCCAGTAACATGCTGTTTTGTTTACTGTAGCTTTGTAGTACATTTTGAAATCAGGGAGTGTGATACCTCCAGCTTTGTTCTTTTTTCTCAGTATTCCTTTGGATGTTCGAGGTCTTTTGTTGTTCCATATAAATTTTAAGATTCTTTGTTCTATTTCTGTGAAAAATGTCATTGGAACTTTGATAGAGATTGCATTGAATCTGTAGACTGCTTTAGGAAGTATGGACATTTTAACTATGTTGATTCTTCCAATCCAAGAGCATGGAATATCTTTCCATTTCTTTGTGTATTCTTCAATTTCTTTCAACAACATTTCATAGTTTTCAATGTACAGGTCTTTCACCTCTTTGGCTAAATTTATTCCTAGGTATTTTATTCTTTTTGTTGCAATTGTAAGTGGGATTGTATTTTTAATTTCTCTTTCTGCTACTTTGTTGTTAGTGTACAGAAATGCAACTGATTTTTGTGTGTTGATTTTGTGTCCCACAACTTTACTGTACTCATTTATTATTGTAAAAAATTTATTGTTGGATTCTTTAGGGTTTTCTATATATAAAATCATGTCATATGCAAACAGTGACAGTTTCACTTCTTCCTTTCCAATTTGGATGTCTTTTATTTCTTTTTCTTACCTGATTGCTCTGGCTAGGACTTCCAATAATATGTTAAATAAGAGTGGCGAAAATGGGCATCCTTGTCTGGTTCCTGTTCTTAGAGGAATAGCTTTCAGTTTTTCTCCATTGAGTGTGACGTTACCTGTGGGTTTGTCATATATGGCCTTTGTTATCTTGAGGGACTTTCCTTCTATACCCATTTTATTCAGGGTTTTTATCATAAAGGGATGCTATATCTTGTCAAATACTTTCTCTGCATCTATTGAGATGATCGTGTGATTTTTATTCTTCATTTTGTTAATGTGGTGTATCACACTGATTGATTTGCAGATGTTGAACCATCCCTGCATCCCTGGAATAAATCTAACTTGATCACGGTGTGTGATCTTTCTAATGTATTGTTGAGGATTTTGCATCGATGTTCATCAGTGATATTGGCCTGTAATTTTCTTTTTTTGTGTTGTCCTTGTCTGGTTTTGGTGTTAGGGTAGTGTTGTCTTCATAGAATGAGTTAGGAAGCTTCCCCTCCTCTTCAATTCTTTGGAAGAGTCTGAGGATAGGCATTAGGTCTTCTTTGACTGCTTGGTAGAATTCACCAGGGAAGCTGCCTGGACCTTGACTTTTGTTTTTTGGTAGGTTTTTGATTAATGTTTCAATCTCCTTACTGGTGATTGGTCTATTCAAATTCACTGTTTCTTCTTGATTCAGTTTTGGAAGATTGTGTGATTTTAAGAATTTATCAGTTTCTTCTAGATTATCCAATTTGTTGGCATATAGCTTTTCATAGTATTCTCTTATAGTTATTTGTATTTCTGAGGTGTCTGTTGTAATTTCTCCTCTTTCATTTCTGGTTTTATTTATTTGAGGCTTCTCTCTTTTTTTCTTGGTGAGTCTAGCTAAAGATTTGTTAATTCTGTTTATCTTTTCAAAGAACTAGCTTTTGGTGTCATTGTTTTTTTTTTCTATTGTTTTTTTAGTCTCTATTTCATTTATTTCTTCTCTGATTTTTATTATTTCCCCCTCTATGGATTTGGTGCTTTGTTCTTCTTTTTTCCAGTTCCTTTAGGTGCCTGTTAGATTGTTTATTTGAGATCTTTCCTGTTTGTTGAGGTAGGCCTGTATTGCTATAAACTTCCCTCTTAGAACCACTTTTACTGTATCCCATAAATTTTGGCATGTTGTATTTTCATTTTCCTTTGTCTCCAGGTATTTTTTTATTTCTTCTCTGACCCAATCACTGTTCAGTGGCATTTTGTTTAATCTCCACGTATTCATGGCTTTTCCTATTTTCTTCCTGTAGGTGATTTCTAGTTTCATACCATTGTGGTCAGAAAAGATGTTTGGTATTATTTCAATCTTCTTAAATTTATTGAGACTTGTTTTGTGGCCTAATATGTGATCTATCCTGGAGAATGTTCCATGTGTATTCTGTGGTTTTTGGATGGAATGTTCTATGTATATCTACTAAGTCCATCTGGTCTAATGTGTCCTTAAGGCCAATATTTCCTTATTGATCTTCTGTTTGGATGATCTATCCACTGGTGTAAATGGAATGCTAAAGTCCCATACTATTATTGTGTTGCTGTCTATTTCTTCTTTTATGTCTCTTAATAATTGCTTTATATGTTTAGTTGCTCCTATGTTGGATGCACAGATATTTACAGGTGTTACATCCTCTTGTTGGATTGTTCCCTTTATCATTATGTAGTGCCCATCTTTGTCTCTGATTACAGTTTTTGTTTTAAAGTCTATTTTGTCTGATATAAGTATTGCTACCCCAACTTTCTTTTCATTGCCATTTGCATGGAGTATCTTTTTCCATCCCTACACTTCCAGTTTGTGAGTGTCTTTAGGTCTGAAGTGTGTCTCTTTTATGCAGCATATATATGGGTCTTGGTTTTTTATCCAGGCAGCCACCCTATGCCTTTTTTTTGAGATTTTTTATTTTTCCTTTTTCTCCCCAAAGCCCTCCAGTACATAGTTGTGTATTTTTAGTTGTGGGTCCTTCTAGTTGTGGCATGTGGGATGCCATCTCAGCATGGCTTGATGAGCAGTGCCATGTCCATGGCTAGAATCCAAACCAGTGAAACGCTGGGCCGCTGAAGCAGTGTGGGTGAACTTAACCACTCAGCCATGGAGCTGGCCCCAGCCCTATGCCTTTTGATTGCAGCATTTAGTCCATTGACATTTAAAGTAACTATTGATAAGAATGTACTTATTGCCATTTTGTTACTTTTTTTTCTGGGTGTTTTAGTAGTTCTCTGTTCCTTTCTTCTTTTCATGCTCTCTTTCCTTGTGGTTTGATGGCTTTCTATAGTACTATGTTTGGGTTTCTTTCTCTTAATTTTTGTGTATTTGCTATAGGTTTCCGGTTTGTGATTATCATGAGGTTCATTTATAATTAACCTACATATATAACAATCTATATTAAGTTGATGGTCTCTTAAGTTTGACCTCTTGCTAAAAGCTCTACTCTTTTACTCCCTTCCTCCCACATTTTATGTTTTCGCTATCGTATCTAACCTCTTTTGACTGTGCATGTATCTGTTACCCTCTTATCATGGAAATAGATAATTTTAGTACTTTTGTCTTTTGACCTTCATATTAGCTTCATAGGTGGTTGATCTGCTGCCTTTACTGTATATTTGCCTTTACCTGTGATTTTATTGGGTCTTTTTTTTTTTTGATAATTTTCTTATTTCTATTTGTGGCCTTTTCTTTTCCGCTTAAATAAGTCCCTTTAGCATTTCTTGTAAGGCTTGTTTCTTGTTGACAAACTCCTTTAGTTTTTGCTTGTCTGGAAAACTCTTTATCTCTCCTTCTATTCTGAAGGATAACTTTGCTAGGTAGAGTATTCTTGGCTGTAGGTTTTTTCCTTTTAGCACTTTACATATATTGTGCCACTCCCTTCTAGCCTGTAAGGTTTCTGCTGAGAAGGCAGCTGATAGCCTTATGGGGTTTCCTTTGTATGTAACTTGTTGCTTTTCTGCTTTTAGGATTCTCTCTTTATCTTTAATTCGTGATATTTTAATTATAATATGTCTTGGTGTGGGCCTCTTTGGGTTCATCTTGTTTGGTGCTCTCTTTGCTTCCTGTACCTGGATGTCTGTTTACTTCTTTAGGTTAGGAAACTTTTCAGCTATTATTTCATCAAGTAGATTCTCTGCTCCTTTGTCTCTCTCTTCTCCTTCTGGGACAACTGTAATGCAGATGTTAGCATGCTTGATATTGTCCCAGAGGTCCCTTAGACTGTTCTCATTCTTTTTTTTTAAAGATCATCTTTAGTTTTTTTCTGCTTTTTCTCCCCAAATCCCCCAGTACATAGTTGTACATTTTAGTTGTGATGATCTCCTTCTTTTTAATTCTTTTTTCTTTGTTCAGTTTGGGTGATTTCATCTAGTCTTTCATCCAGCTTGCTGATCCATTCTTTTGTATCATCTACTCTGCTATTGAGTCCCTCTAATGATTTTTTCATTTCCATTATTGTATTCTTCATTTCTAATTTTTTTTTTTTTTATATTTTCCAATCCTTTGTTGAAATTCTCACAGAGTTCATCCATTCTTCTCCCAAGATCAGTGAGCATCCTTATGACTAGTAGTTTGTACTCTCTCAGGTAGATTGTTTATCTCTGTTTTGTTTTGTTCTTTTTCTGAGGATTTCTCCTTTTCCCTTATTTGGGATGTATTCCTTTGTCACCTCATTTTGCCTCTTTCTCTGTGCTTATATCTATGTAGTAGATAGATCAGCTATGCTTTCCCATCTTGGAGAAGTGGCCTTATGAAAGAGATGCCTTATGAGGCCCAGCAGTGTGTTTTCCTCTCGTCACCAGTTCCAAATGTTCCAGGAGTGTCCCCTGTGTGGACTATGTGTGTCCTTCTGTTGTGGCAGGGTTGCTCTTGCTGTAGGTGCCCCAGGAGGCTAGGCTGTCCCCCTAGCCATCTGGTTTTAATATTCAGCTGTGTGTGGCTGCTATGGTCCCTTCAGTCACTTTATTGGGTGTGGGGAGCCCCAGCACAGTTGGTTGCAAGGTCTAATAGCAAATTCCTGCTGCAGTTTTTCTGTTAAGTGAGTAGTCCCCCAGTGTTGCCAGTTGCTAGGCTCAGGGCCTTACAGTTGCTGTAGGCCTCTGGCCTACAAGGCTGTTGTCAGCTCTCAGTAGTGCAGCTGGGTGGGTCTGGCCCCAGGCATGGGAGCACCCAATTGTTTCAGGCATTGGGAGGTAAGGCTGATCCCATATGTGGCTGACAAGCACAAGTCTGCTGCAGCTGACAAGCCACACCACTTGCAGGCCCAAGCACCTTGTCAACACAGTCCTGCCCCACGTGCACACCCCAACCCACTGAAGCAGACCTGCTCACCCCACTGCAGAAGTCCCACACACCTGGCCTATGCAGTTCTACAAGTTGCCCAAGGGCTTGCTGTTGGGTGGGGCCAGTCCCTAGGGTAGGCTGTCTGCCCTGGCTGAGCTGGATTAAATGGGTGCTCTAGTGGGTAGGACAGGCCAGGGGAAGAATTCCAATGGCATCTGCCAGCTTCTGAGTCAGTAAGCCTGTACTAGGTCACAATAATGGCTGCTGCCAATGCCTCAGTCCCTGGGGAGGTGTTCCCGGCCTGAGGAGGTCTCACCTCTCACCAAGATGTGCCCAGAGCCAATCAAGTGAGTCACATTTCACCAAAGGACTGCACCTTTCTTTCTTGTGATTTAGGTTGCTTTCTGAAATGGGCGGATTTCTGTGTGGGCCCTTTAAGTGCAGGCCTTTCATTCCCTTATGTTTGATAGCTTTCCTGGGGGTATTCCCTGTTGTTTTTAATAGCCAGCAAGCCAGATATTATGACACTTGTTTTGGTTGTGCTGAGTCCAAAAGTTGCTTATTGTGGTAAAGCTCTCCCACTCAGACCCCCACTCCTCCAGGGAAGGCTTCATACCTTAAGATTACTCCTGGCTGTGAAGGGCCACAGCTAGCAGGTGGCTTTTTCTCTCCAGAAAGGAATTTCTGCCTCTTCCACCTCAGTCAGCACTCTCCCTTGTTTTGTTGTGGGGTTTTTTTAATCCAGTTTTCAGTTCTCTCTTAGGGTAATTGTTCCAAGAGTAGTTGTAAGTTTGTTGTGTCTGTGGGAGGAAGTGAGTTCAGAGTTCACCTACAGCTCCATCTTGACACCTATCCATATATATCTAAACTACATCATGTTGTAATAGTTCTCAGAAAAAATGACAAGTGAAATTTTGAAAAATCAAAGATTCATGGAATCTTAGAGTTGAGAAAACAATAGAGTAGAGTGTTTAAGAGCTGGGACTCTGGAATCAGGCAGCTCTCCTTTTTACAGACTGCGTGACCTTGGGCAGGTTACTCAACTTCTCTATTCCTTATGTGTAAAATGGGACCAATGATAAATCATCTACTTTTTACAGTTGTTGTGAGCATTAAACATGATACAGTTTATACCTTGGTGGGAACTGTACCTGGCATATAGTAAGAGGACCAGCATATTTTAATTTAAAACAAATAAAAAACATGATTTTCAGGAGAACAAAATGCCATTTAATCCAGAAACCTATTGCCTTCGCTAGAGCCATTTGCCATTAGTATACTTTTTGCACAATAATTTTACTCACTTAATTTAAAGCAGTTTTTCTTGTGGTGAGGCAATCTTTTATTTTCCCCTCAGTTTTCTTGAAAATTTGAAATGATATTGATGAAATAGCCTGTTAAGTGATCTCAGGGCTTTTTGGCAGTCCCAAAACAGATCAAGGAAAGGGAAAGCATTTTGGGAAAAGATGCAGTTATAGAGTCAATCCAGACATTGCATCAAGCCAATGAGAAGAAATTAATAGAGTTGTGCTCAGGTAGTTTAAATTCAAATTAATCAGGTTCTCTTTAATCCACTCAGCAAACACTTATCTAGTCTCTATGCCAGACATAATTAAAAACTTACTTTTCTTTTTGACCATTTAATGAGAATATAGGTATTTAAGAGAACAAGTCATATGACTATCAGTGTATCCCCACTCATCCATTAACCAAACTATTTATTACATGACTACTAATATCCTGGTCTGGAGCTTAGCACTGGAAATAACAAGACCAAGACTCTGCCTAAGACAGTGGCACCTAAACAAATGTAACTGCCCCTTTATGCCCCACAATGTCTGGGTGGAACTGCAGACACAGTCTATGACCGGAAACCACACTTACTGCAAAACATTTATTTGGTGTTCCCATCAGGTCCCTGGTCCTTCACTCTCCCTGTGTTCTTTTCTTCTCTCTCCTCCAGGGGCCAAGCTCCATGCAGCCACTGTCCTCTGGGAAAATGCATTCCTGGCTGCACACCAGGAAGCTTCATTCTTTCAGGTAAAGCACCAAGAAGACTTATTCTTTTTTTTATTTTTAAAGATTTTAAAAAATTTTTCCTTTTTCTCCCAAAGTCCCCTGGTACATAGTTGTGTATTTTTAGTTGTGGGTCCTTCTAGTTGTGGCGTGTGGGATGCCACCTCAGCATGGCTGGTTGAGCGGTACCATGTCCATGCCCAGGATTTCGAACTGACGAAACCCCAGGCCGCCGAAGCAGAGTGCGCGAACCTCACCACTCGGCCTCAGGCCGGCCCAAGGACTCTTATTCTGATATCAGTCTCTCTCATAGCATAACTTTGTAGGATAATATACTAAAGCCTATCTCTCTGGGTGTAAATTTAGTATAATAATTTTAGAGAGCAACTTAGCAGTATCCGCTAAGGTTTAAGATGTGCATAGCTGATGGTCCCAAAGTCTACTCCTAAAAATAGATTCTAGGGAAATTTTCACACCTGTGCACAGGAAAACATGTTCAAGAATGTTTATGCGAGCATGGTATATAAATGCAAAGAATTGGGAATCAATTAAATGTCCACCAAAAAAGAATGGGTAAGTAAATTTTGGTGTAATTAAACAATGAAATAATAAACTATATGGTGGTAAAAACAAGTAAACCAAATCTGCATGCATTGACATTGATGAAATTAACAAACATAATGTTGAGTAAAAAAAAAGAAGTTTTAGAAGAAATACAAGTAGCACCCCCAGCCATTGTGGCAATGAAAAATCCCACCCACGTGTCTAAACACTAAGAGGTGGTTATTGTTCCACCCCTGCCCCTCCCCCCATATTAAGAACTATTAGTCTAGGATAAGGGCATTATTCTATTTTGGACATTTATTTTGAAATACTTATTAGACATCCAGATAGAGATGTCAAGTAGACAATTGGTAACTTAAGGTATAAGTCAGGGTTGGAGATACAAATTTTGGAGTTATTAGCATATGGGAGACATTTAAAGTCAAGGTGTTAGATGAGCTCTCCTAGAGAGAGTACAGACAGTGAAGATAAGAGGGGCTAGACTGAACCCTCTGGTATTCCAACTTTTTTGATAATAGATAAAGGAAAAGAAGCCTATACAGGAGCTAGAATAAGCACAACCTAAGAGGTATTGGGAAATTAGGGTGCCATAGAAGCTAAAAACTGAGAATGTTTCAAGGAAGGAATGATCAACTGAGTAAATTCTGCTGAAAACGGTTTCAGCCTTGGTAAACCAATTTTGTCATCATGGTAGAGACTGTTACTCATCCCTCAATATTGGTTCTCCCCTTCCTCTATAATAATAAAATCACCCCTGATTTTTAGTCAAGTGCATGGCCAATCAGACATAAAAACTACATTTTTCTTGCTTCCCTTACAATAACACCATATCTGGCGAATGAGATCTGCAGGTGACATGTGCAACTTCCAGGTCATTCTTAAAGAGAATGAGTTTGTTCTCATGCCACTAGCTGGGTCTGGATGTGGTCATGAGCAAAATTAGACCAAGCAAATGAAGGCCACCCCATGGATGTGGCAAAACAGCGCTGGAAGGACTCTGAGTCCCTGACTGCTTGGAGCACCATGCCAGGCCTCAGAGTGTGGATTTACCATTCCAAGTTGACTTTAATGAGAGAAAAAAAAAGAGCCTGAAAAGCTTATTCAAGGCAGATACATCAATATTCTAGCATTTCAGTCAGGGTTAGGCAACAGATCTGTCACTAAGTGGCAGAATACTCAAATAAATCAAAGCTCCGGGCCAAGGGCACCACTCTGAAGGCTGCTGTGCTGTGCTAGACTTTTCTACTTTTTTGTGTATAAGATGAATGTCAGAGCGCCTACAAGCCAGAAATCTGGTGCTTCCCTGAGCTTTGGAAATAGGTTGTAGGACTGGTGTTTTGTCTTCTTGCTGATAGATGTTTGAATGTATGAGAGAATCTTGTGTGAGACCTGCCTTCATTGTAACAGGTCACTTGAGTGTGAGGTTGTTGGGGGGAGACCTAGAGCCTACCCCTATGTCTCACAATTGGAGGCCTCCAGTATCCCCCCAAGTTATTTAATAATGGGAATAACCAAATTTTCTTAGGTCAATTTGCTACATTTGATGGTGAACAGGTTGATATGTACATGAATTATACGCAGACATTCTATAGGAGACAACACATGGAAGTTGACAAAACAGCACCGGTTTTTTACGAAGACTTTTGTCTAAAATGAAATATCTGTAACACATAAACCAAAATGAAAGGGCCTTTTTTGGGGAGAGGGGGAGTAAACTTTTAAAAAATTGAATTATAATATAGAAACAGTAAAGTGCACACATTTTAAGTGTATGGCTCAATGAAGTTTCACAAATGAACCCTACCTTGTAGTCAATCCCCAATTGAGATATAGAATATTTTCAGCACTGCAGAAAATTCTCCCTTGCTCCCCTTCCAGTCAGTATACTCCTTAAAGTAACTATCATAGATTAGCTTTGCCTGTTCTAGAAGGTCATAGAACTGGAATCTTGTTATCATGCTAATCATGCAATCATATATATATGGTATGTGAGTATACCACAATTTATTTATCCATTCCTCTGTTGATGGACATTTAGCTGTTATGAATAAAGCTGCTCTGAACATTCCCGTGCATGTCTTTCAGTAGATGTTTGCTCTCATTTCTGCTAAGTGTATAGCTGAGAGGGAAATTACTGGGTCACAGGGCAGGCATGTGTTTCGCTTTGATATGCACTGCCAAATAGCTTTCCAAAGTGGTCATATCATTTTTCACTTGCACCAGCAATGAATCTGCTAAACATCTTGCACAACATGCTGTCGTTCTTTTTAATTTTCGCCCTTCTAACGATAGTGTGGCAGTATCCCCTTTGTCTTTAATTTGCATTTCCTTGATGATTTATAATGTTGAGCACCTTTTTATATGCTTACTTTCCATTTGGACATCCTCCTTTGTGAAGCACATATTCAATTGTTTTGTCCATTTTTAAATTGTGTGTTGTGTCCTTTTTTTTTTTAAGATTTTATTTTTCCTTTTTCTCCCAAAGCCCCCTGGTACATAGTTGTGTATTTTTAGTTGTGGGTCCTTCTAACTGTGGCATGTGGGACACCGCCTCAGCATGGCCTGACGAGTGGTACCATGTGTGCACCCAGGATTTGAACTGGCGAAACCCTGGGCTGCCGAAGCAGAGCGCACAAACTTAACCACTTGGCCGTGGGGCTGGCCCCCTGTTGTGTCCTTTTAAAAAATTGATTTTTAGGAGTTCTTTACATGATCTAGATACAAATCCTGTGTCAGATATATGTATTGTAAATATCTTCCGCAGTCTATGACTTACTTTTTCACACTTCTATTGGTGTCTTTGGATGATTATTACTTTTTATATTGTGTTTAAGAAATAAACATTGCCTACTGCAAAGTCATGAATATATTCTCCCCTCATTTCTTTTAGAAGCTCTATTGTTTTATTTTCATGTTTAGCTTTATGATTCATCTCAAATTAATTTTGGGGTACAGTATAAGATAGATTATAAAGTTCCTTTTTTTCTATATGGATAGAAAATTAATTGCTCCAGTACCATTTATTGAAAAGATTATTACCATGACTAGTTCTAGAATGGTTATCCAAATTTATTTATTTTTTTAAAGATTTTATTTTTCCTTTTTCTCCCCAAAGCTCCTGGTACATAGTTGTATATTTTGAGTTGTGGGTCCTTCTAGTTGTGGCATGTGGGATGCTGCCTCAGCACAACTCAATGAGCAGTGCCATGTCGGCACCCAGGATCCGAAATGGCAAAACTCTAGGCCACCGAAGTGGAGCATGTGAACTTAACCACTCAGCCACGGGGCCAGCCCCCAAATTTATTTATTTTTTAAAGATGATTCTTTTTTTTTGCTGGGAAAGATTCACCCTGAGCTAACATTTGTTGCCAATCTTCCTCTGTCTATTTTTCCATCCCTGAAGCCCCAGTACATAGTTGAATATTCTAGTTGTAAGTCCTCCTAGCTCTTCCGTGTGAGCTGCTGTCACAGCATAGCTACTGACAGACAAGTGGTGTGGTTCTGTGCCCAGGAACTTAACCTGGGCCGCCAAAGAGGAGCATGCTGAACTTTAACCACTAGACCATCAGGGCTGGCTCAGTTATCCACATTTAGAAAGAGATTTTTTAAAATACAAGAAGTGAAACTAGCCACTTAAAAAACCCAAGTAGTACACCCAGGTTCACAGCAGCATTATTCGTAATACCTAAAATGAGAAGGCAACCCAAGTGTCCATTGACCGATGAATGAATAAACAAAACGTGGTATATACATACAATGGAATGGAATTTAATACATATGATGGAAGACATATAATGGAATTCAGCCTTAAAAAGGAGGGAAATTCTGCAATATGCTACAGCATAGATGAAACTTGAGGACATTATGCTAAGTGAAATAAACCAGTCACAAAGACAAGTACTATATGACTCCATTTATATGAGATACTTAGAGTAGTCAAAATCAGAAAGACAGGAAGTGTAATGGTGGTTGGCAGGGGCTGTGGGGAGAGGAGAGTGGGGAGTTTTTGTTTAATGGGTATAGAGTTTCAGTTTCATAAGATGAAAAGACTTATGAGAATGGATGGTGGTGATGGTTTTACAACAGGGTGAATGAATGTATTTAATAGCACTGTTAAAAGCAAATTCCACCAAATAAATTTGAAGATCTAATTGGCTTTATTCAATGATTCAAGAATTGGGCAGCATCTCTTCTAGCAAATAGAGAGATACTCCAGGAGTTATACAAAATGGAAGGTTTGTATAGGAAGGAGGGTGGGAAGGAAGTTATTAGGAAAAGAAAAGAAAAGATTGTTTTGGGCCAGGACATCTCTTTGGGGGATGGAACAGCAAGAGTTTTACCATGCAGATTGCCTCTTCTTCTTCTTGGGGGAGGGATGGAGAGGGCCCACATGACACATTACCTCATTGATACTGACCAGAAGAATCCAGACTGGTTGATTAAGATTACATTCCTGGGGAAGGTCAAAATGGCAATTAGGGTAGGTCTTAAATCTAGGTTTGGTGTCATGGGATTCAGCAAAAGTGATGCCATTTTGGGGCTGTGGTTTTGTCTTTAACACCACTGAACTGTACAGTTAAAAGGGTTAAAATGGTAAATTTTGTATCATATGTAGTTTACCTTACCCCCCCCCCCCACCACCACACACACACATGAAAACACAGGTAATAAGCAGCTAAAAGGTAGATAATTCTCTTTTGATCACCCACCTTGGGAGTGTGACTATGCTAATTGCCTGAAAATAAAGACGTTTATAAAGAGTGATTTTAGAGAGGAAGTTAAATGTAAAGTGAAGAATTTGCTGCCTACACAAAGCTGATGTTACAAACTGTATCAGAGGCCCAGCAAGAAAAAGTGATATACTGAAATTGGGTAATTTGAAGAGACTTTAATAAACTGCTTTCTACAAGGGTGTGGGCAGGGCATATATAAACCCTGAGGGATACTGCAGTATCTCAGGGTTAGTAATATTGAGGGCTCTATTACCATCTGAAGGGCTCACCAAGTAAAAGAAGGGAGTGGTCACTGGTGACAAAGAGGACTTTAGGGAGAGGGCCATCAAAAGATGCATCCAATTTATGCCAACCTGCAGAGATGGAGCCAGGGGAATAAAGGTCCGAGCAAATTGCCCCTCTCCCTCCAATCTTTTGTCAGTGTTCCCCTTCAGCTGAACCCAACCAGAAGTTATTGATGTTGTCCATATAGCTTAGCCTCCTGGATAGAAAAGAAGCTGGTGGAGAGTGGGTCTGGAGGGGCAAACAGAAGATTCAGCACACAAAACACAGGAACATACTTTGTCCAAGAGGAGTGAAGGGGAACAAAATTTGCCGCCCTAAAATGTGTCTCTTTAACATAAGGATTATTTTAGGCTGATTATTTTTAAGAAACAAAAAACCCAGAAAGTTTTTCTTTTTACCTCCCCCTTAACTTCCTAAAAGAATTCAGATTAAAAAAATTTGTCTCAGGCAGTGAGCTGTCTCCTTAGCATAACACGAACTAGGTGGCAAACAGGGAGAAACCTAGAAATGTCTGTTTTTTGGGCTCCTCTCTGTGTTCTTCTGTTTCTCTGTGGCCAAACACTTGTTTTCCAAATGTTTTCTCCTTTTCACTTACCTGTGAATTGCCTTCTTTTCCTTTGATGTCCCTGACTCTCCCTAACCCCAACATCTTTTGTCTTTAGCTGAGGATGGCATTTAAGGTGAGGGCTTCTGCCATTTTGGCGAGTTATTCAGTTTTCCTGGGTCTCTCCCACATACACATGTTATTAAACTTTGTTTGACTTTCTCCTGTTAATCTGTCTCATGTCAATTTAATTCTTAGGCCAGTGAGAAGAACCTAGAAGAGTAGAGGAAAATTCTTCCTCCTCTCCAGGAGGAAGAGGAGATCTATATTGATTACTCAAGATCAGAAACAGATTTACAGTGAAGCTAATGAAGTTTAAGCTTCAGGCCCCCTCAATTGCATGGGCCTTCCCAAGACCCTGGGAGGAACCCTAGCAACATGTTCACAAGACCATATGTTTTTGTTAAATTTGCAAAAGTAATATAATTTAGCCAAAATCATTAAAACTGCTGTTGTCTCCATTTTAAATTTCCCTCCATCCCATTTCCACTACTGTCAGGTGGTGCTGGAGTGATAGGGGCATTTTTGGTATCTGTTTAAAGAGAAGTTGAATTGAATATAAGCCATTATAACTATAATTTTAGCAGACATTTTAGAACATTTCAATAAAACTTGTGAGGAAATTATAGATTCCTGATTTATTTATTAAAGAACTGAGAAAAATTCAGGTAAGGTTACTGAAGTATGAAGCTAAAGTGATAAAGAGAATCACAAAAACAATGGAAATTATTTTGATTTCAAGAAACAAATTATGGGGCTGGCCTGTGGCAAATGGTTGTTTGCTCGCTCCACTTCAGGTGGCCCAGGGTTTCGCTGGTTCGGATCCTGGGCACAGACATGGCACCACTCGTTGGGCCACGCTGAGGTGGTGTCCCACGTGCCACAACTGGAAGGACCCACAACTAAGGTGTACAGCTATGTACTGGGGGGATTTGGGGAGAAAAAGCAGGAAAAAAAAAGAAACAAATTATAACAAAGAAGTTTTCAGATCATATGAATAACCAGTGATCCATTAAGAAAAAGAAATATATTTCAAAATAGAAATGAATAAGCTTCTTGGATTGTTTATAATCCAATTAACAAAGAGGAGAGGATCATAAGAATACATTGGAAAAAATTAAATTTTTTCTGATTTGAAAATAGTGACAATAACAAATACAACTAAAATTATAATACACCATTATAACGACATTGATGACCAACTGTTTTAATGAGAACTGTCAAGTACATTTACACACCCTGAAATCTTACAGCCCATATGTGAAAAAGACTGATGAGATGTTTTCCCAAATTTGATAATACTCTTAAATATTTATGACATCACCAGTAAGAATAGGCTGACACTTTTCTAAGCAACCAATAATAAAAACCATTCTAGAGGAATTCTAACTATTCTAGAGAAAAAACTGAATTATCTTTATACCTTTTCTGTAGAAAATATCCTCCCTGGAGAAAATATTACAGAATTATTATTATATAAAGAGTGATCTAAGTCTATGCAGCCAAAACATGTAGGAAAAAAGTATTATAGAGATGTTTCTGGAAGTTAACTAATTTAAAACGTTATTTTTTTCTGGATTTTGTGGTATTTGTCTTTGTTGTGATTTATTTATCTGTTGAAGTAGATGTTCATTTTCCTACCTAATTTGTATTCTTTTTCTTAAAGTGGGCCCCCAAATTGCATTTAGCATCATGCTGCACAAATTCTGATATGACCCTGCTCAGAATACACACAAAAGAAGCAGGCACTAGGCTAACTTCAACAATAACAACAGAAGTTATATTAGAACACGAAGCACTCTCCCCTGGATGGATGACAGGCATATATGTAAAAGAGCCTAGGAACCTCATTAAGGAAGGAAGGGGGAAAAAAACCAAAACCAGCTGAGATGGGTAAGTTGTATTCTGGAGGAAATGCTGACCCACAGAACTTTGGCAGCAAAGTGGTGGGAAATTATTCTAGAATCAAAGCTACTTTTAAGAAATTCACTATCGTGCAGAGATCTCCCAGGAAAACTCTCATGGAGACTGGAGCGTCATGGGAAGGCTTGGGAGCTCTTCTCTCACGCGCAAGCTGAAACCATCCTTTGAACGCAGCTCCTCCTACTGGGAGGACTCTAATCCACACAATGGGGAGCAAAACCACAATTAGTAGAAAAATCCCAGGGGAAAGAATTCTATCCTACTCATTCAAAAACAGATATGAAGCAATAAATTAACTCAAAAGAGCCATGGGGAATTTTGAGAGAATCAGGGGCCCCAAAGGAGAGAAATCAGATGAAGTATTGTAAAGATATTACTAATAAACCATTCATAGACTTTGGCAAAAATTCTTAAGACAAGAGCTCGGAGGGGTGCAAGTTATTTGGTTTTGGTTTTGGTTGGTTTGTTTTCATTTCTATTTTAGAAATTTTCAAGCATACTGCAAAAGTAGAAAGAATACTATACCTCCCCAAATATCCATCACCCAGTTTCTACATTTATCAGCATATGACCAATTTTGTTTTATCTTCATGCCACCCACTTCCCCAAAGCCCTCACCGGACTATTTTAGAGCAAATGACAGACATCATGATGTCATCCGTAAAGTCTTGTGTCTGTATCTTTAAGAAAAAAGACTCTTTTAAAAAATCTATAGCCATCTTTACCATTATCATACTCAAAAAATAAAATTTAACAAACATTATTTAATATCATCAATATCCAGTCAATATTCAAATTTCCATGGTTGTCACATAAATATTTTTCATTTCTTTATTCAAATCAGGATCCAAATGCTATTCACATATTGTATTGTTGATATGGCTCTTAAATTTCTTTCAATCTATAGTTTCTTTTCTTTTGTTTTTCTTACCATTTATTTGTTGATGAAATCAAGTCATTTTCCCTGCAGAATTTGTTACATTCTGGATTTGGCTGATTATATCGTGGATGTTATTTAAAGTGTTCTTCTGTTCGATGCATTTCCTATAAACTGAAAATTAGGTCTAGCGGCTTGGTACGATTCAGGCTCCATATTTTGGGAGAAATACTTCATAGGTGATGCCGTGTTCTTATTGCTTCACATCAGGAGGCGTGTGATGTCTGTTTGTCTCTCTTTTTGGAATTTTAAAATCAATCAGTGGGTTCAAGAGTTGTCAGTCTGAGCTATCATTATAAATTTCCTCATCAGCCTGTCATCTAAAGATTTTAGCAGCTGTTGATGATCATTGGCAAGATCCATTCCTTTATCAAGGTGGCAAAATGGTGATAGTCTATCATTCCTTCTGCATTCATTAGCTTGGATTCTTTTATTAAAAAAAAAAGTTGACCACATTCACAGTTTGGTTTCCTTGTGGTACAGCTCATACAGGAAAAGCAGAATATATGCTTGATTTTTCTTCTCTTCATCAATTTTCAGAACAATGAATTGGTTTCTTAATATTCTTCAAGAGTAACCAATTAGTTTGGCTGCAAGTTTTGAGATTAGATTCCTGTATGCAAGTCCAACAATGCTGAGGATGGCACTCAACAGCACCAGCTGAGAAGGTAACTTGCTCTGGAACCTGCTGAGCTAACCAATTCCACTAGGTACAGGTGGACCTCTCAGCCAGTGGAGGAGGGAGGGCAGCAGACAATCTCTCATATACTATCCTAACAATTCACTGATTTTTGAAAAATTATCAAAAAGAATCATCATTAATAGACAATAGATTTCAAGTGATAACTCTTCTGGGAAACCCAAAATTTTTAGAGGAACCAAGATAGAAATCCAAGGTGTAACACATCTAGACCTGCGGTGAGAAGTAAGGCAACACTGGAAACAGTTAAGGGACCAACCAGGTCACTTTGGGTGGCAATAGCCAGGACCTCAGAATGAATCATTGGAATCAATGCTTTGGGGGAAAGTTTTTTACATTGAGAGGAATAAAAGTTCAAGATTTTATGATTATAGGGGAGGCTAAATAATAGTTTGCTAGAATTTCCTCTGTAAAGTACCTAGTTCAGAATCAGGAGAGAGCTATAGCCCTTATCTACCTTCATCTATTGGAGGCTACTGATACCTACAAAAGAACCTAATAATTGAGAAGGTCAAACTGCCTTAGATCAGTTTGCACAAGACTTCAGGTAAAATGAGGAAAGAGAAGTTTCTACTGAATCTGGCAAAATAAAAGTCATAGGTGACTTGATGATAGTAGTTTCAGTGATGTGATTGGAAAAGCACCCCTGAGTGGGTTGAAACAGTGAATGAGAGTTGAGGAATCAGAAACAGAGAAGGGTTGACAACTCTTTTGAGCAGTTTGGCTGTGAAAGGGAACAAAGAAACACGCTGCTCCTGGGAGGAGATCTAGGGTCAAGTGAGGACTTTTTTTTTTTTTTTTTAAGCTTTTATTTTTCCTTTTTCTCCCAAAGCCCCCCAGTACAAAGTTGTGTATTTTTAGTTGTGGGTCCTTCCAGTTGTGGCATGTGGGATGCTGCCTCAGCATGGCTTGATGAGTGGTGCCATGTCTGCACCCAGGATTTGAATCAGTGAAACCCTGGGCCATCAAAGCAGAGTGTGTGACTTCAACCACTCGGCCACGGGGTCAGCCCCCAAGGACTTTTTTAACAATGAGATTTTTTAAAAAGATGATAGTTTAAGGATGGTAAATTCCATAATAACAAAAGGAGAAATTAGTGGTCCATGGGAGAGGAGATAATTGCAAGAATGATGTCCTTGAGAAAGCAAGGGAAGATTGACTCCAGAGCATGAAGGGACTGGCCTTCAATAGGGTGATGGCACTTGTATTGTAACAAGAAGATAGAAAATATTGGTAAAGATACTGGAAGAGTTGGTGGTTAGAGGAATAGAGTCCCTGTTTAGTGCTATGTTTTTTCAGTAAGGTATGTGGTAGGTCATTATCTGATAGGGAGGGTTGAAATTTTTAGAAAAAAAATAAAATAGTTAACTCTGAGAGTGAAATATTGACCTTACTAGGAAAACATCTGAGGATTGTGGAGCAGATACTGAGTGCTCGTTTCAATTTTGTGGTCATATATTTGAGGTACTGTTCCAATGTTCAGCTACTCTGCTGCAGGCCCAAAGAAGGTCTGGAGTTATACTCAGCAGGGCAGGTGTGTATAAACGAAGTAGAGTTGCTTTTCATGATGATAGACCAGGAATCAAAGATAGATCAGGGGGAGAATGAAGACAGAACAAACATAATGGGTAGTTTTTAAAATGTAGTGGGGTCAATGAATTGGAGAATGCAGGGTGTTGGATGGGAGACTGTATGGACAAAAATGATGATGAGAGTATAGATGAAGAGGAAGATAATGAGCTAGGTATTAAGTCTTCAGTGAATGAGGAGGAGTACTGGGAGATTATTCAATTGTAGAAATAAGGGGCTGAAGAAAGAAAGAAGGAAGAAAGAAAGGAAGAATAGTTTGAGTGACAATGGGTAGCAAGGAGAAAAAACAAGCATCCCTCATTCTGGCCTGGAAGTATACAGGATGTGAGAGGAATACTTACTTGACAAGGCTATAGAGGAGCCAGCGTCCTATCAACAGATCACACACAGTGAGGTCGAGGAGTCAGAGAAAACCTTGATGAAAGAGGTTAAGAATAAAGGGAGCATATTTGGAACTCAAGGGTTGTAGGAGGCACCTAGAGAGGGTTTTGGAGGGCTTGGAAGGGTGGGGGATCTCGTTAGACTGGAAGCTGTGCTATAAACAGAAGGAAAATGACCTTACGAAGGAGGTGATTAGAGAAGCTTGAGCTTCCGGTGACTAGAAAAGAGGGAGGTGAGGTACGACGGGATTACTGGATGGGTAATTGTCAGGTCTTAGTTCAGATTTCATTTTTTGGGGAAGCTGCCCCTCTTCTATGCTGCCATAGTACCCCATACTTCACAATTATAACACTTCTTACTGTTTTTGAATGTGAATTAAGACTCCAAGTCCTAGTTCTGGCCTTTGTATCTTATCAGAACTAAAACGTAAGTGCTTCCTCCATCCATTGAAGGGCATGATGTCATTTCTAGGACCAACACATCAGCGTCCACTCAGTATAAACCCCTGAGCTTTCATGGCTCGATGACGCTTGCTCCCAGTGCAGAAGTGCACACTATCTCTCCACTCTCCTAACTCTGGAAGAGCAAGACTCTGACCAGAGGCTCTGGGCATTGTTTCCATGAGATTGCTCATACCACATCCAAGCCACAGTGACATTTTAGGTTGCTGCTAGGGAAAGAGAAAGAATCCATGCCTATAACGTGACTAATGAGCCCCTGAAGACACCACTGAGGAATTAAGTACTGTGGCCTTCTACCCCAATCCCAAAGAAATATGTATGGTATCATCATGTACTAATAAAGAAGGTCTAGTTCAGACAGATTAAATAATTCCATACTGGATAATCTTTTATTATGTTTTAAAATTCTATTAAAAAAAAGTAATTTGAAAAGGCAGGTTTCCATGCTATTACATCAAATGAAGTAAATATCCTGTGGTTCACTATAGGTCTTAGACCCCATAGCTTTGACATTGCCATTTTTTTTTTTTAGAAAGATTAGCCCTGAGCTAACTGCTGCCAATCCCCCTCTTTCTTTTGCTGAGGAAGAGTGGCCCTGAGCTAACATCCGTGCCCATCTTCCTCTACTTTATATGTGGGACGTCTGCCACAGCATGGCTTGCCAAGTAATGCCATGTCTGCACCCGGGATCCAAACCGGTGAACCCCAGGCCTCCGAAGCAGAACGTGCTCATTTAACTGCTGCACCACCGGGCCGGCCCCTTGACATTGCTTTTGACAGGAATAGTTTTTATACTTTTTGTTCCCCTCACTAGAAAATCAGCTCTTTGAGGGCAGGAGCATATTCCTGTGGCTTCTCTTAAAATAATTCTCACTGTGCACAAATCGTCATCTTTTTTGCATTTTAATTATTTGTCGTCTTTTATTGAATGTGCTTACTGTAAGAATGGAGCTGGATCATATAATGTAAGCTGAAAACTAGACCACGGAATTTGGTCTGGGTTTGGGGACTGGAGAGAAGAAAGTCTTGGCTTCCATTCAAGTTGATATTACTTTGGTATAGTTCTGGATGAGCTAACAAGTAGCAAAGGATATAAAGAAGATACAGATGTAGGAGGGTGAATGTGGCTTCCCACTGCTGCACTTATATCTTTCAGAGTGCACCCAAAGTTCGCATTTCTTGACAATTCTGCAGAGCAGGATCTCCCCCAAGTCAAAGGAGGATAGAATGACAGACTCCCTGCTACTATAGTTCCAATTACATCAGCTCAGAAACAACTTTGCCTACCGTAGAAGGTGATCACTCTGAGATGCTGTGAGCCATTCCCTTCAGGCCTAACTTCCAAGTTCTGGGCCTTGAAATTCTTGTGATGCCCACAGTCAGGCAGTCTCCCGTTCTCTGTGACTACAGGGCAAGGCCTGGGAGTTCTCTGTTTCATCCTCTTGGGTTTTTCATGGGCAGGCCTTGGAAAAACAATACAAAACCCATGTATAAAACTGAACGCAAGTATCACCGGGCAGTGTAGAAGAATTATGTTGCTATTGCTCAGTTTAACATTACTTATTAATTCCACAGATAAACATGACGTGCCTACCATGTGCTTGGCCCTGAAGATACAAAAGTAAATAAGAGACTTTGCCTTCTGCCTCAGGAAAGTCTGGAGTCTAGTTACATTCACCATGCCTCTCTCTGACGACCATTTCTTTATTGAAGGTGGACAGGAAACAAACAGGATACACTGGTTTGAAACTTTTTAAAAAGCTTATTATTGTTAATTCCACGTTTTTAAATAACCTTTTGATCTGTTTTGGATTTTCCCCCATCCCTCCCTCCTCTGCTGTTTCCCTTAAAATAGCATTCAGTGCACACACATTGTGTTTTCATTAAATGGATATGTTTACTCTAAAAACAGAGCTGAGAGTTACCGACTCAAAGGACTCTTCCCCCTTCGTCTCTGGACAAGGCAAACTTTGGGAGACTCACATTAGACGCAAAGAGGTTTGTTCTGGTTCTTACAGTCAGACCGCTAGAAAGAACCACTGATAGAAATAGAGAGAACTGATCGTTTTAGGATATCAGGAGTGTCACGGTGAAGACCAAGTATGGACGTGTGAGTCAGCTTATAGACTTTGTACAATCCTAAATTCCAGATTCATCTGAAGAAAATGAACTTGCTTTCATGAAAATTCACCCTTTTCGTTTCTGATGAATTGATTGCTTAATGAGTACATACATATTTTAATATAATTGTTCCTTGTTTTTGTAGATGTAAAATATTCTAATAGAATTAATTAAACCTAGGATAAATCTTTTTGGATAACAAGTGTACAGAGATCTCATGGTACATGTGCCTCAGGACCTTTGCACTTGATGTCTCCAAGGTTCTAGTCTTTCTTCCTTCAGGCCTCAGCACCAATGTCGTCTTATCAGAGAGGCCTTTGCTGACTACCCTTTATAAATAGTACCTCTCACAATGATCTCACTCCATCTTCTTCATCCTAATTCATTTTTTTTCATAACACTTATCACCATCTGGCACATTATTTTTTGCAGTTTTATTGAGATGTAATTAACATACAGCACTGTGTGAGTTTAAGGTGTACACCATAATGATTTGACTTATATATGTCATGAAATGACACAATAAGTTTAATTACCACAATAAGTTTAATTAACATCCTTCATCTCATATAGGTACAAAATAAAAGAAAAAAATATACCTTTCTTCCCTTGTGATGAGAACTCTTAGGATTTACTCTTTCAACAGCTTTCCTACATGTCATACAGCAGTGTTAACTATAGTCATCATGTTATACATTACATCTCTAGTACTTACTTATCTTATAACTAGAAGTCTTTTTAATTTTTATTTTTAGGTTCCACATATAAGTGAGATCATACAGTATTTGGCCTTCTCTGTCTGACTTGTTTCACTTAGCATAATACCCTCAAGGTCCATGCATGTTATCACAAATAGCAGGATTTCCTTGTTTTTTTTAATGACTGAATAATATTCCATTTTATATATATATGTGTTTTATATATATATATAACACATATAAACACACATATATATATACACACACACATACCTTCTTTATCCTTCACATAACTTCTTTATCCATTCATCCTACGATGGACGCTTAGGCTGTTTCCATGTTTTGGCTATTATAAATAAAGCTGCAATGAACATGGTGCAGATATCTCTGTGACATAGTGTTTTCATTTCTTTCAGATACATTCCTATAAGTAGGATTGCTGGATCATATGGTAGTTGCATTTTTAATTTTTTGAGGAACCTCCATACTATTTTCCATAGTGGCTGTAATAGTTTACAGTCCCACCACCGAGGAACAAGGTTTCCCTTTTCTCCACACCCTTGCCAGCATTTTTCATCTCTTGTCCTTTTGATGATGGCCATTCTAACAGGCATGAAGCGATATTTCATAGTGGTTTTGATTTGCATTTCCCTGCTGACTAATGATGTTGACCATCTTTTCATGTACCTGTTGGCTATTTGTATTTCTTCTTTGGACAAATGTTTATTCAGATCCTTTGCCTACTTTTCAATTGGATTATGCCTTTGTTTTTTTTGCTATTGAGTTGTATGAGTTTCCTGTATTTTTGGACATTAACCCCTTATCAGATATATGGTTTGCAATTTTTTTTTCTCATTCCGTAGGTTGTCTTTTCATTTTGTTGATGGTTTCTTTTGCTGTACAGAAGCTTTTTAGTTTGATGTATCCCACTTACTTATTTTTTATTTTGTTCCTTGTGCTTTAAGTGTGATTTCCAAAATTTCATTACCAAGACCCATGTCAAGATTTTTCCTGTTTTCTTCTAGGAGTTTTATGGTTTCAGATCTTAGATTTAAGTCTTTAATCTATTTTAGGTTAATTTTTGTGAGTGGTCTAAGATAGGGGTCTAGTTTCATCCTTTTACATGTAAATGTTCAATTTTCGTAAGCTTTTTTCGTAAGCTTTTTGAGAGCAGCAACAGTGTCTTCTGTGTTAACTGCTTTATGCCCAGTGTTCCCAAATGGTAGTTGGCACAGAGGGGCATACTATATGTGTTTAATAAATTTTAACTCCCCTCCAAATTGACTTGGGAAAAATAATCCCTCTTCCTCTCCCACTTTAGCCACTCTCTCCTCTTAACTCTGTTTTGTTTTCTTTTTATTTATTTATTTTGAGGAAGATTAGCCCTGAGCTAACTGCTGCCAATCCTCCTCTTTTTGCTGAGGAAGACTGGCCCTGAGCTACCATCTGTGCCCATCTTCCTCTACTTTATATGTGGGACGCCTACCACAGCATGGCTTGCCAAGCGGTGCCATGTCCACACCCGGGATCCGAACCAGCGAACCCCGGGCCACAAAAGCAGAATGTGCACACTTAACCGCTGTGCCACTGGGGTCAGCCCCTATTTTGTTTTCTTTTAGTTCTATCACTTTTTCAAATTTTCTGCTTTACTTGTTTATTGCCTGTGTGCCCTGTTAGAGGAGGCTCTACTAAGAACAGGGACAGTGTCTTGCCTCCCGTTTTCCTGCCACAGAGGAGGCTCTCCATAAGGAGTTTCTGAATAAATGAAAATAAGCAGAAAGCTTTTCATGATGAAACTTGCCATTTAGTGCAACTCTTCATATACCTGTGTTTTTATTCCATTTATTTGAAAATTTCATTTAGGCACTCAATTACATGCTGATTTATTCAAACGTAAATTAAGTTTGTTTTTTTTTTTAAAGATTTTATTTTTTTCCTTTTTCTCCCCGAAGCCCCTCAGTACACAGTTGTATATTCTTCGTTGTGGGTCCTTCTAGTTGTGGCATGTGGGACGCTGCCTCAGCATGGTCTGATGAGCAGTGCCATGTCCGCGCCCAGGATTCGAACCAACGAAACACTGGGCCGCCTGCAGCGGAGCGCGCGAACTTAACCACTCGGCCACGGGGCCAGCCCCTAAATTAAGTTTTTTAAAAAGCAAAATTAGAACAATTGCCTCAAGTTACATGTCTAAATAAGTATGAGTGCATTTTGACTGATTGAGTGATTCAGTGATTAATTTATCATCCATTTACTGACAAATAAGGTTTGAAAGATATAGGTACTTAATGCTACTTTGAGATGTATGATTTCTGTTTTGAATTTGCACTCATCTATTATTTCTGTGACTTTAAGGAGCAACAAATATAAAATACACCTGGCTACCGAGGTCCTTTCCCCCGAAGGCAAAATAACATAAGAAAATAAAGTAGTTTCTTCTACACACTTCCTGAAATATTCTATAAATGTAGGCATATATTTATGTATTTTTCCTTTTCCTACACAATTAGTAGTACACTAAACTCACAGTTCTGTAATTTGTTTTTGTTTTGTGGTTTGGTTTTTTCACTTAAATATCTTGGAGCTCACTCAAGTTTTATGGCTGTAAAGTACTCCATTATGCAGCAGTATCTTAATTTACTTAAATACTTCTACATGGACGTTTAGATTGTTTTCAGTCTTTTGTTATTACAAACAATGCTGCAATAAGTAACTGTGTACACATGTCATTTTCACATATGTAAATATATCTGTAGGGTAAATTCCTAGATGTGTGTTTGGATCTTAGAGCAGTAAATAACACTCCTCATCCTCACCCATCTTCTGAGCCAATTGGGAAATAAGACAACAGACTTAGGCAGATAAGTGATCAAAATATAACCTTTATTACTGATAAAAGCTGATGTTGAAGAATGTGACTTCGTTTGCACATAAGAAAGGTTCCTAATTCTGCATCTCTTTCCTTTCTTTCTTTTTTTTTTTTTTTTTGCTGAGGAAGATTTGCCCTTAGCTAATGTCCATGCCAATCTTCCTCTATTTTTTAGGGTGTAGGCTGCCAGAACAGCATGGCTGCTAACAGAGCAGTGTAGGTCCATGACTGGGAACCGAGCCCAGGTCACCAAAGCAGAGTGCACTGAACTTAACCACTAGGCCACCGGGGCTGGCCCTGAATCTTTTTCCATGAATCTTGGCAATGCTGGTCAACTATAGGCCTCTCCACACAGGTTTTAGGAAGTGGAGGGGCTGAGTGGAGACTTCCCAGTTTATTCTTTACAAATTTAATAATTGGAAAAGTCATCCCTTTCCTAGGGAGAAACAACAGAAGCCAGGAGTGTTAAATCAGTAGAGCTGCATTCGCACCCTAACCCTACTCTTCTGCTTCAAAAGAATTTCTCATTTGTAATTTTGATAAGTTTTGTAATTTTTCTCTGTTGCCCTCAGAAACGTACCAATTTAAACTCTTTTCAGGTGAGCTGAGTGTGAATATAGACTCAAACACATATGAAAATGCAATATAAGATAAAGGTTTTCCAATTATCTGTTTGTCTAGTAACATCTCAGTACCTCACAAGTTTTTCTTTAACCTTCCTTCTTTATTTTGAAATATAACACGCCAGAATTTTAATTATAGTAGCTTTGTAGCATTTTAATATCTGACAGAGATTGTCAATGGTCCCAGGATCCATTAACCCTGTCTTCCTGTTCGTAACAAGACGCTGAGGTTTTACCTGAGCATATGGCTGTCCATCTTCACGTCAGTCTATGATAGCACACATGCATCCCGCTGTAAGGACTTTGACTTTAACTCTGAATGAAATGGGGAGTCATCACAGGGGTTTGAACAGAAGAGTGACATGATCACAGCGTCTTGTAGACTTTATTGTTACTCCTGTCCTCAGGGATTTATTTGCTCACCAGGAAAGCCTGGTAAAGTGCAAGGCAAGGCATTTCTCCAATCAAAGAATTGACTGCAAACTGTCCTCCAAGACCAGAACTAAAGCTGCTCTAACAAGTGGAGAAGACCAGGACACTGGCGAACCGGGTGGGTGACTCTCCTTTCCCTCATCTTAAACTCTTCTAAGTGTTTTGTTTT